CTGATAACTGTGTGTTCTGTTAGCTAGGCTGCTGCGGAAGCGTTAGTTATGACACTGTTACTAGGAGCGAACCTTTGTTAACGTTTCAGCCTTTTCTTTTGAACTATTCTTTTCCCTTTAATAGTTCGAGGACCTGAAACCACAGGAGGTCAGGACTAAAGGTAATTGACATTCCACGTTGTGTAAGCTTGGATGTTTTAGACTACACTACACTATTGTGCTAGTCCTGCAATATGAAGCCTTTAACTTTAACATATAAGACGTTATGAAACAAATGAACAAAGTGTGTGAAATATATCAAACCAACATCTTGTGAAATAATAGAAGAAATGATAAAAAGTCAATTTATTATGACATTTTTGTGTAATAATTCCGCTGATTATAATAAAGCCTGGTCCACACAGCATGCGTGAGCAGTGCGTGACAGCTGCCTCGCTCTGTGGGGTCCTAACTGAGCTAAGTGAATTCTATTTAAGCTGCAGGAGTGGTGTTTTTTTGGATAGCATTGAGTTAACCATGAAGATAACCTGCTTGGAGCAATTTGGAGATGGGCGTAAATTGCCATGACAGTGTAGCTTGGGTAAAATTATCCACCTTTTGTAGTTGTGAGCCATGTTAGAATCTGGTCAGGTACCCACAGTCACTTCCAGCTGCAGTATTATTGTTGTTTCAGTGGGTGTTCCTGCTCTGTCTTTATTTTAGAGCTATAATGTGCTGACCATAAGAGAAGCATTTGAAGGACATTCTGTTTGATCAATAAAGAGGTGAAGTGAGTTCTTCAGAAGAGGTGAGATCAAATATACACTAGCATTTTCCAGTACCACCTTTTGCTGCAGACAGTATTGTAGGGCTGTCCCTTTTTCGGAAAAAAAAAAAAATCAAGTTCAAATGAATTTGAAATGACACAATTACTTCCAATGAATTCAAACAAAAATATCAAGACACATACAACTATATGACATAACAGACTATAAGGATTAGGATAAGACATTTGCCCTTACTACACAATCGGGCCGCAAATCTTATTGGTGATAATATTTTTACAAGCTTCTGGCAAGGGGCCTGTTGAAGCTGAGTGTGCCAAATACTCCGCTTGTGTATGCTTCACTTGGGTGGCAAGCTAATGTTAGATGATTCATAGAGTTAGACAGCTTCTTTGTACAAGGTCGACGGAAGCACACTGCTTCTCTAAGCCTTTGGCGTTGCAATTGTCTACTCAAGACTTCCTTCACTCGCTAGTGTCCTCCATTTTTGTATTAGACAGTATAACATTACTAGCTTAATTTACAAGTTAATAGGGCATGCAATACCACTATTGCATGCAAGCTGATGGTGGAACACCCTCTGCTGGATGTAGGGATGTCAGGAGACCTGGTACTTCGGTACCAAGTACATGCCAAAGTTCTGAAAACGTGACAGTAGTATCAAGTAGTATCATAGAACTTTGGGTGCACCCAGATGGATACAAGTGGGGGTAGCACCTCCGTGGCTGGGAACAAAAAGAGAAAAGAAAGAGTGAAGATAAATCCTCTTTTTAATCCCAAAAGTTTAAAAAATTAACTCTGAGCTCTCCTCTTGCTGGTAAACGTCCCCAGATCAGAGCAGAATCCGGTGTGATAACTGTTTATTCCTCCAGAAGCTCTGGCTCTGCTCCCTGCCCTCTTCTGTTGAGCTTCCTTGGCTCAAGCAGCTGTCTGTCGGCCAGCAGCAGCTCTGTCTCTCTCTAGCACGAAATTGAGAATGGGGCAAATACAAAGATGCGTGTTCATGCCCCCCAATTTGCGGTATTTACAACTTTGCATTGACTTTGTAATTTTATTCACCTTTGGTGGGAACGCACCATTAGAGACACATAAAGGGAGAGAGAAATGGGCCGGGCCTGTGTGTGTGTGAGAGAGAAAGAGACACTGACCAGAGTAGGTTTGTACATGTGTGGAAAAGAGTACTGAAGGGAAAAGCAAGGTGAGCAGATTAAAATTGTTTGTGAGTTAAGTAGTGAATAATAAGACATCTATTAGGAAAGGAGCCACTGCTATTTTGTGTAATGTTTAAATGTTTTAATAGAAATGAGTGTATGTTGGAAGTTGGAGATTTATCGAAATTGGGTATTGGGGAATCGTTCGGGTATTTTTGTGTCGACTACTAAATTTCTGGTATTGGGACATCCCTGCTTGGATCACAAGGCAAACTACTTCAAACAACCCGTCGTGCTTTCATAGACTTTAAATTTTTTAATTCAAACAGCTTGTTAGAGTTTGAAAGTGAACCACGTTCAAAATACATTTATTAATTAAAAGTGACAGCTCTGCAGCACTGAATCTACAAGCTAACTCATGATTGCAGAATTTTTATGAAGTCTACACTCTGAGGTTAATTTCTCTGTTTCTGTTTTTCTCAGTTAAAACCAACAGATGCCGACTTTATTTGTGTTGGAAATCTTTCAGTCGGTTTGGTGGTCGCAGAAGGCATGGACTCACTCACACAGCAGAGAAACCACCAATGTGAACGATGTGGAAAGAGTTTCACTGACTCGGATATTTACAAGAGACACCTACGAGTCCACACCGGAGGGAAGCCATTCAAGTGTGATCACTGTGAAAAGGCTTTCACTCGCTTAAGTAGTTGCAAGAGACACCTACGAGTCCACACTGGAGAGAAGCCATTTCAGTGTGACCAATGTGGAGAGAGTTTCACTTGGTTAAGTAGTTACAAGTACCACCAGCGTGTCCATACCGGAGAGAAGCAGGTTGTTAGAGTTTGAAAGTGAACCACATTCAAACACATTTTTTTATTTTGAATAAAAAGTGACTGCTCTGCAGCATTGAATCCACAAGCTAACTCATTATTGCATTATTTTAAATATTATCTGGCCTCATTTTTTGGTATGGAAAGGAAAAAAGTTTTTAGAAACTGATGTCTGCTCAGACATGCTGACATTGACAGTGATAATAAAATAATGATTTGCTCAGTTTCAGAAGTAAACAGAAGTTACTCTTTGCCTCGTTTACTATTAATGGTAGCAGGAGAGCATTAGACAGGTGTGGGCAGGTTTTTTTTTTAAGTCTACACTCTGATCTTAATTTCTCTGTTTTTCTCAGTTGAAACCAACAGATGCAGACTGTATCACTGTCAGAAGTGTTGGAAATCTTTCAGTTGGTTTGGTCGTCAAAGAAGGCATGGACTCACTCTCACAGCAGAGAAACCAATGTGAACAATGTGGAAAGAGTTTCACTGACTCCGATATTTACAAGAGACACCTACAAGCCCACACCGAAGAGAAGCTTTTCCAGTGTGATCACTGTAAAAAGGCTTTCAGTCGCTTAAGTAATTACAAGAGGCACCTGCGAGTCCACACTGGAGAGAAGCCATTTCAGTGTGACCAGTGTGGAGCCAGTTTTGCTTGGTTAACTAGTTACAAGGACCACCAGCATGCCCACACCGGAGAGAAGCCATACCAGTGTGACCAATGTGGAAACAGCTTCACTCGCTTAAGTAGTTACAAGGACCACCAGCGTGTCCACACTGGAGAGAAACCATACCAGTGTGATCAGTGTGAAAAGGCTTTCAGTCGCCTAAGTGATTACAAGAGACACCAGCTTAACCATACTGGAGAGAAGCCACACCAGTGTGAACAATGTGGGAAGAGTTTCTCTTGTTTAGGTGATTATAAAAAACACCTGCGGATCCACACTGGTGAGAGGCCATTCCAGTGTGAACAATGTGGAAAAAGTTTCAGTTTGTTAAGTAGTTACAAGAAACATGTACGTGTCCACACTGGAGAAAAGCCGTACCGCTGTGAACAGTGTGGGAAGAGTTTTAGTAGCCTAAGTTACTACAAGAGACACTTGCGTGTGCACACTGGGGAGAAGCCTTACCAGTGTGAACAATGTGGGAAGAGGTTCGGTTTCTTAAATGACTACAAGAAACACCTGCGTGTCCACTCTGGAGAGAAACCATACCGCTGTAAACTATGTGGGAAGAGTTTTAGTTGCCCAACTTACTGCAAGACACACCTGCGTATACACACTGGGGAGAAGCCATTCCGGTGTGAACAATGTGGGAAAAGTTTCCGTGCCTCAAGTGATTACAAGGCACATCTCCGAGTCCACACTGGAGAGAAACCGTACTGGTGTTCCCGATGTAAAAGATTATTTGCTTGGCCAAGTTCGTTAAAGCTACATCGTTGTGTTGATGTAGATGAGGAGAGTTCTGACTGAGGGCAAGAGTAGTGCCTGGACAGGACTGTGTGTATGACTGATTTAATGAGAAGTAATAATAAACAGAATATTACCCCAAATTTCACTTAGTTGACACACAGAGCAGCCATCTGGGATTTTGAGGTTGGGGTTGGTGAAGTTCTTGGGACTTTCCTATTTGGAAAACTGACTTCAGGGGGTGTTCCAGTTGACGTTTTTGATCTGGGAAATGGAAATTCTGAACAGTTCAAATGGAATGCACCATAACAATGGCAGACAGCGAGGGAGATTCTGAGGGCAGGACGGTCACCTAGCTTAAGGTGGTGCTGTGATGACATCATGATCGAATACAAAGTTTCCTTTTACATTAAAAGAAAAAGAAAACCCCAAACAGCATAATATGGCCTATTTTACCATAAATGCATCTACAAAAAACAAAACAAAAAAAAACAGCCATTTTCTGTACATATATATCACCCAGAGTGTTTTTAGGGCTCAATAGGGTCTTAGCAACTTCACCATATATATACCATGGTATACAGCATGAAGTCAGAATGTTGTTGCAGTTGTTACTGACAGATTTCCTTGTGTTAGGGTAGCTGTGGCTCAGTAGGTAGAGCGTATCCTTGACTACTTGTAGGGTTGATCCCTTGATTCTGTTGTCAACATATACACTAAATCCCCAATTGCTCCTGATGGTCAGGCTAGCACGTTGCATGGTAGCCTGCTGCCATCGCAATTTACTGCAGCTCTTTGTCCATTTATTTAAACATGAATTTACTTGTCTTGTGTGTGTAAATATAGTGTGTGTATATGTATATATGTACATATATTTGAGACCTCACATTTCTCTAGCTCTGCATTCTCTCTCTCATCTCTTTTCCTGTCTGTTCCACCAGTTACATGGTGTGCATTCTCACTTGCCCCTCACATGGGAACAGCTCTGAAACCACCATTCATCCTTTGTCGCCTGTATGTGGTGTGCTGCTTCCTTACTGGGTCTGAGGCTGCCAATTTACCTTTTGTTACACTGGCGCGCACACATACACGGTATGTATGTAGTTCCACCACTTGCTAGAACTTTTCTTGTGTTTTTAGTGCTGCTAGAATATAATAAACCCTGTTATATTGTAACAAGAAGTGTTTGTGGTTGTTTTTGCTTGCTATGCCAGGAACTCTAAATTTGCCTTCACAGTTTCCCAAGCTGAAGGAGTTCATACAGTACAAAGCAGCTGTGGACAGCAGATACTGTAAGAACTACCCCCAGTCATCCATAGATCAATGCAGACTGATTTATTGACTTTCCTGCTTTAATCACATTAATGTTATTATTAGTAAATACTTCATATACAAATAGGCGAAAAAGTTATTAAAAGGAGATCAAATTTGTGACCACCACAGTAGTATCGCTCAGATAGTGTATTCATGTCCTGGTATTCTCTTTCATGTCAGTAGGTGGTATTATTTAGCGATGAAACATGGCTGGCCCGCAGCGTCTGTAGATAAATACGGCTCATTCTCAGGGAACAAAAACACAATGATTACTATATTCAGGTGATTCTACATTAATGCAGTTGTTGTTAGCATATAGCGGACTGCTAACCTGAAAGGACAGCCATTTGTAGCCTATGTAGTCTATTATTGTAGCTTGCCAAAAATTTGAGAGGACAGGAGACAGGACTGATTCTGACTGACGTCTGTGTGTTTGATGATATTATTGAGTGTATATAGTGTTTGCTGCAGTGTTTACTGCTGCTGCTCTACCCAATATGGACATTTCAATAGTTCAGTTCATTTTACGGAATACCTGGTTTTGAATATCATAATCTTAAGTTTGGTGTTTTTATACAAAACAAAGATGTTGAATTTTTATGTAATAATATTTTCCTTATAGGTAGATTTTACATTCACAAGTGTAGTTTTTTTTTTTTAAGTTGCCAAGATTTGTTGCATTTATGGATGACTTGAAAATGTTTAAATCCTTAACTATACACCTGTGGTTAAACAATCACACATTCTGTCGTGTGTCCCTTCCCCATTTATAGTTTAGGTTATGCTGTCACTAGGTTAAGATCCCAATAAGTTGACAATATGAAACAGCCAAACTGACCTGACTGAACTGACTTATTGACGTGACTACCACTATATGAGCTGCTATAAAATAGAAAATAAGACTTGTATAAGTCTATATGGCTTCCTACCTGGTAGCGGCTGGGTACCAATCAAAGTTACACAGCATTGCCAAGAAGTTTCTTTTTCCATATGGGTATTTCATAACCTTCTGGACTTTTCTATTAAGTATATTTACATACAGCTTCTGCTGGTTCTTTGACATTTTGTCAGTTAGTTTGGAGCTGTGTTCATGTTCAGGAAATTAAGCCCTGCAGTCTCCAGGCTGCTAGTTGAAGTTGTGAAAATGGGTGTGTTTTATAGGTCTTACCTATTATACCATACAACTATTAAAACAGAAACACATTTGTTGAGTAAAATATATTTGTATATTATTTTCGTACGTAATCAATCATATATCTAACAATATGGCATGCATAAACATACATCATGGTCTGCATATGTCCCTCCCGCCCCCAAAAATAAGGTATTAAAAAATTATTTTCTCGTTATTAAAGTAACACCAGTGATTGTCCGACCAATGAGATTTTGGTCGGACATGAGCATATCTACCAACCGATCACAAGCTAAATCACCAATGGTCAGCATATCCTTGCATATAAATCTTGCACTTGTTGAATATCATTTTTATGGCTTCTAACAAGGGGGCCTATCGAGACCCAGCTGCCGAATCAGTACGTCGTACGAAGTTGTACACTTGACTTTGTCCCGCTTGTCTGGACCTCTGACCCACGCCTTACTCTGGGTGACAAACTAACGTAGCTAAGTGAATCCATAATTTATGTCTCGTACCATTGACCAGACGGCTTTGGAAAAGTCACAGAATCACACTGCTTCTCTGATGTTTGACGTCACAATTTTTCAATTAGGACGTTGTCCGATCCGCTAGTGTCCTCGGAATTTTGCTAGTAATCACAAGATAACATCCTACTAATATTATACCAAAATTAAGCTCTCAATAGCGCAACTTTTTTTGGGTGGGGGGGATCTTATGGTTATGATCCAAGAAGGTGCCCCACTGTCGTTGCAGTATAACTGTAAAAGGTGTGTAAGTTCAAAAAAGACCATCTTCCAACAACTGTTTCAAATTTTAATTGAAATGACAGCCAGAGATGAAATCTTTTAGAAACGATGCGACTTGACATGGCTATACTATAATGTTCTTTCTAACGTTAAAAAAAAATGCTCATGACCTATATTATGTACTTTGTCAGACGACTGTGATCATGAATACTGTTCGATCATACTGAACAGCACCTCAGAAGCATTTCACCTCCTTCGCACTGCAGTGCCCTTGAGCAAGGCAACCAAACCCCAGAATGCTCATGGGGTGGGTGGCCTGGCTAACAGTGGCACCCATCATCACCATCTCTCTCCCTGGTTGAGTCAAAGTGCACTAGGTGTGTATTTCAGCCTGTGTGTGTGTGTGTGTGTGTGTGTGTGTGTGTGTGTGTGTGTAAGATTAAAAAAGAGTGAAAAGAAGAATTTCCGCAATAGGGGATTAATAAATTATATATCTTATCTCTTATCTTATCTTATCTTATCTTATCTTATCTTATCTTAAGCAATTCTGATGGAGTTTATATTAGGGATGCACCATAATGATCAAGGCCGATAATGGGAAAGTTCTATTATTATGATAATTGGATTATAGCCAATAAAGTATCGCTCCTTAATGCTCATTTATTTCACATTTTTAACCACATAACCTTTTAAGAAGAAATAAATTAACATTTGAAGAGTCAGAACTGTTCTTTGTTTTTGTGTGTTAATAATAGTGATGTTGAATACCAGGTAGAAGAAGTTTGTTTTTTTTAAGATATTGCTTGATCCAGTTTATTTGGAATATATTGTTAAGAGAACTGAATTCAATAAAATTAGCCCTCCACTTTCACATATAGTGGGTTTTGTTTTTCCGTAAGGTATTATTTATTTGCATTTTATCAGTAGGTTTACAAAATGACCTATCCACATAAAATGACTAGACAAGATATACCTTCCGCCCAAAGGTCTTTGCAGACCAGACTTTAGATTGTTTTGTGCAATTAATTCACACATTAATTATGTGAGTCCATGAGTATGGAGGTTGGGATTGGGACAGAGTGACAATCGTAAACATAGGGAAAAGGGTGAGGCTGCACTGAACCATGACAAATTTATCATTGAATAACCCAGAATATGATAATGGTTTCTTTTGAACACTGAAAATGATGTATTTGGATTCAAGCAAGTTGTCGCTGTTCAAGCGAGTAGTGAGGAAATATCAAATTAGAGACTTGAGATGTACTGTCAGTTTATGAGGATTGTATCTAATTCACACTCTGGAGCAGAAGGTGGCGCTAACGCACCAATAAGCTGAATGCCAACCGCTGTAAATGAAGACGAAGAAGAAAACACCTGTCACGTGACCTTCGTCTTGCAGGCTGTACCGGGGCGAAAAATGGAAGCTTAGAGAAGTGTAAAAAGGTAAATTGTAGCTCTTTTTCGTTTGTGTATAAGTTAGTACTTCATGATAGCACATCGTCTTTAAAGCTTGTCAGTCCAACTGTAAACATGCTGCAGTTTCCTTCCAGCATCTCGCTGATAACTGTAAATAACATTTAGCACATATTAGCTAGAACACTGGGCTCAGTGAGCAAGAGCACTGCTTGACATGTAATGGCAAGGGCCTGGAAACCAACCAGTGGCAGCAGTCACTTAATTGTCAGCTGACAAAACCAATAGCAATATTGGCCTCCAGGGCAAAAGCCATGGTAACTTTCCTGGTTGACAAATAATTGCTTGCTTGCACATGATGTCACATCACTGCATTCCTGTGGCGCAAACTGCAGATGGAGAGCAGGAGTTCATTTTTACATTGGGAGCACTATCACAAACTTTCCAAATGCCTGTTTTGATATGATAAAGCTGAGAAACAACAAGCCTTTATGGACCAGAACATTTTCCATGAGAATAAACTAATATACATTTGAATATATTTATTGTGACTATCTTTGATCCAGTTCTTACAAAAACAAAATATGATCACACTTAAGACTTATTCCCTCTCCGGAGCGCTGTCATTGCCCTCCATCATGTCTGGGAGACAGGGTTTACCGTGAGTTCTTCAAAGTGCTGTAATCAAAGACAGTTGCTTTTACCACCTACAGTATTACTGTTTCAGTGGGTGTTCCTGCTCTGACCAGTCTGTCTTTATTTCACAGCTGTAATGTGCAGACTAGAAGAGAAGGATTTGAAGGACATTCTGTTTGACCAATAAGGAGCTGAAATGAGTTCTTCAGAAGAGGTGAGTAGGGCAGTTCCATATTTTCCTGTAGACAGCACTGAATCCACAAGCTACTTTGTCAGATCACTTTGTGATCAAACATATTATGATCTGATCAGTATCTGAACACAGCAGCTCAGGAATTTGCCCTGTTGACTAATAATGTTAGCATTAGGGTGTAAAATAAACACATTTGCTTCAAATAGCAGAGCGAATTCTTAGTGTGGAGTTCAACTTTAGTGAACTTTTTTAATTTAGTCTTGTCACTCGCCTGAATTTGTTTATGTATTACCGTGCCCTTGAAGGTCATAAAGGTGTGGGACCAGAGGTTTCTGAAGTTGTCCAACATGGAGTATACTATATATGGCTATTGAATTGCTATCAGCATTTTTATGAAGTCCTACATTCTGATCTTAATTTCTCTGTTTCTGTTTTTGTCAGTTGAAACCAACAGATGCAGACTGTTTTGCTGTCGGGAGTGTTGGAAATCTTTCAGTTGGTTTTGTGGTCGAAGAAGGCATGGACTCACTCTCACAGCAGAGAAACTACCAATGTGACCAAAGTGAAAAGAATTTCACAGACTCTGAGATTTACAAGACACACTTGCACATCCACACCAGAGAGAAGCCATACCAGTGTGACCAATGCGAAAAGAGTTTCAGTTACTTATGTCATTACAAGACACACCTACGCATTCACACCGGAGAGAAGCCATACCAGTGTGACCAATGTGGACACAGTTTCAGGCTGTTAAGAAGTTACAAGGAACATCAGCATGTCCATACCGAAGAGAAGCCATACCAGTGTGATCAGTGTGAAAAGGCTTTCAGTCGCCTAAGTAATTACAAGACACACCTCCAAGTCCACACTGCAGAGAAGCCACATCGGTGTGAACAATGTGGGAAGAGCTTCCGTTTCTTAACTTCCTACAAAAGACACCAGCGTGTCCACACTGAAGAAAAGCAATACCAGTGTGATCAATGTGGGAAGGGTTTCCGTTTCTTAAGTGATTACAAGACACACCTGCGAGTCCACACTGGAGAGAAACCATACCGCTGTGAACAGTGTGGGAAAAGTTTCCGCTTTTTGAGTGATTACAAGAAACACTTGCGTATCCACACTGGAGAGAAGCCATACCA